TCTTGTTTCCTTTCTGATACAGAAGATCAAGTAACTGTGAGCGATCAAACACTACATGTGCATGCTAAATGTGTGTATGTGTGTGCTGACCTGCTGTGCTCATTAGTATTCTAGGCAGGTCCCTCTGCCATGGACTCTCTGCTCAACCAATAATAATGGCCTGATGGGAGTCTGATGGCCACAAGGCTTTCTCATGTACACACACACACACACACACACACACACACACACACACACTCAGACACACATATAATCACCGTAAAGCACACACACACACACACACACACACATGCATCCAAACTATAATTCACAAACCAGTCCACATTTGATTTACACAGTCGCTGCAGACAACAAATGGAGAATAGTGAAGCATACTTATTTTATTTTTTTATCTTTTATATATTGTTTGGCCTTATTAATAGAAACAGCAGAGAAATGATAGGAAATAATGGATGAATGACATGGGGAAATGTTGCAAGCTGTAGTTTTGTATAATGTGCCCACATGAACGCCATAGCTCAACGAATCCAACCCAGACTCATTGGAAAAACATTTTTGCAAAAGATTATTGCACTGCTTCTTGCATTTTTCGTACCACTTTCAGAGTAAAAATTCACAGTGAGTGGATGAAAGCATGTTCAGTTCTCAACAAAAAAATTAATGTGAATGTGGCAACATTTCATTATGATGGTTGTTGGACATACTGTTTGGAAATTAAATCTGCTAAAAGGTTAATGTTTGCATTTGAACATACCATGAGTGTTAATTAAAGCAAACATGAGATAAAAAATGAATTTGCAACCATGCCATTTTAGTGTGATTTTACAAGTCTTTAAGCTATTTTTTATAAAGTGGCATAACACGGTACCTCAGTGCTTTGAATTGTAATAATGTACCAGCTGAGCTTACAAGCAAGTTTACTATGTCAAAAAAGTCATACACATGGAGCTAATTATGTGATTCAAGTGTGAAAAATATATTAATTTACAAATCTTGAAAACTGTAAAAGTGTTTTGAGGTCATAGCATACTATTGTGAATGGAATTGCTCAAAATAAGACTTTGTTAATTGATAATCTTCCTCATAATCATAATTGTTGTAAAAAAAAAATGTAGGTAGAGGCACATGTTTCAAAAATGACTATGTTGAATGCACCAGAGCACAACTGATTTGTCATTGGCAAGACTATTTTCTTTCAATCACTGATTATAATTTGAAAATGAAAATCTAAATCAGTCTGTTGTAACAACATGAAATAAAACCCAACATACAAACAGTGGACTGCGATAATAGATACGCTTTTAGCATTTTTAGGGGTGCTTTTTCCTCAGAACCTCTTGGGACACAATTTGATCAATTTATTCATCCTACAGAGTTATTGAGTAAGCAATTAAACGAGAGGTTTGGCTCCTTTTTCGCTCTCTGCTGAAGTTGCCGCAGTTATTCGGACTGTTTAATTGCCTTTTCCACAAACGACGCTAGTGAACCGCTGCCCCTCTTAGCTGATGGGCAGGAAGTGAAGAGAGGAGAAAATGAATGTCACTACACAGCTTGTAAATTAAAACAAGGCCGACAACAGGCTCTAACTTAACCGAGGAGAAGATTGGCCTGTGTCTGGAGCATTACTACTCATTTAGAGTCCCTGCCCACTGCAAAAACCTTATTAGTGTGTGGTGTGTTGTGCTAAGTGAGTGTGTTATTAAAACTCTGAAGTATTTCTTCCTAAGTCCAGCGACAACCAAATCCAAATACAGAAAGAAGGGCCAAACGCAACAAAACTTTCACAAAATGTCTCCAGCTTTATCTTCCTGTGCTCTGTCTTTGTCTTTCTTGCTCTCTCTCTCTCTGACCGCAGGCTAAGTGAGTGCCGGGCCTGGCTCCCTCAGTGGCAGCTAATGTTCCTGACCCAGCACTCCCCGAGCCACCTCCAGCCCTCCAGGCCTTTGAAGGGCCGGCCCGCTCTAAGGTCTCCTGACGGCTGGTGAGGAAATTTGCAGGAACAACTGGAAGAGGCCTGTGTTTATTCAGCTCCCTTTAATGAGGAGAGAGAGGGATTATCGCTGGCCTGGATCTCCCCTGGAACGAGAAGGAGGGGAAAAAACAAAACACTAAAAAAAGGAAAACGAAAGAGAAAACGACCGCTCCACATGTTGTTCTACCTCTGACCACTCCAGCAGATTTTCAACACAAGTGAGGGAGCGAGGGAAAGGGAGGAGGGGAAAAAAATGAGAGAGCAGGGCCTGCTGTGCCCATGTATTTCTAGCCTGCTTTCTGCACTTCCACTTCCAGATGTTCCTATTGCAAAACCAGTAGGGAGGTGAGAGAGAGTATTAGGACGTGGTTTGGCTGGTTTGGGTTGAAGAAGGTGGTGGTCCAACACCTGGCCCAGCCACAAGCATGAGTGGCCCTTACAGTTCAACTCCTCATGGTGCTGTTTATCACATGGTGCTATCATAAGGGGAATGGGGGCTTCCTGAGTAAGTTATACAAGCTATAATGTTTTATTATTGCAGTGTTTTACACATAGTTTTATTGTAATTGTAACTGAAGCAAAGAATGGTGTAAGCTGGCGTAAAGATCTCTCACGTGGAGCGCTAGTCTCACAGATGTGTGAGGATTAGGCTTAAAGCACAATACTTCAGAGGTTACGGAACACTTTCATGGATCATCTACATCAGGGTTGTATAAAGTTCAGAATTGAAAAATTGTCTCTCTTTCAATACATAAATGTGATTTTGAATTGAATTGGCTACACCCCACAGGAAGAACTGAAATGACAGGAAGAGGAATTTACTGATTTGCAATTGAAAGAAAGTAATGCATTTCAGGAAATTAAATGTTCTTCCACCCTGTTGCTCAAAGGTTAGTTTATTATGAATTATGACAAATCAATCTACACTGTTTAATAATAATAATAATAATAATAATAATAATAAATAAACAGACAGACAGACAGACAGACAGACTAGATAGATAGATAGATAGATAGATAGATAGATTTATGTTTTAAAAAAAGGCAGCTGTGGTTGCCAGACCTGTAAAAAAAATATGATATCAATATAAGTAATGTTTTACATTTTATTTTTTTCCTGTTTTTCACTGCAGATTTGTGACTTGTTCTTTTTCATTTCCAAAAATCTTTTTCAAGGCATTTTACACTTTCTTCAAAACGTACAAACAAGTTCAAAGCTTGTCATTTTCTAAATTAAAATTACAGTCATCAGAATTTCTTTGAATTTCAATACATTTAAATTTCACGTCCTTATATCTAGATTCCAACTAGAATTATGTTTACTTGTTTGCAACCTCAGTTAGAATATTCTTTTTTTTTTTAATTGGGCTATTATTTTGGCAATCACATCTAAAAATACTAAATGCAAGATTCAATGCAATGACCAAAGGCACACAAATAAAAACAGCACAGATGGAACTTGCTCCATCGCCCCACCCCATACTAATTTGATTTATCTCTTGCATATTGAAAGGCACAACTCTAGTAGATGTCTAGTTGTTGACAGCAAGCTGACCGAGTTCTCTTAAACAGTGAGACAGCACCAGTGGATCAATAGGAGTGTCTATTGTCCACTCATTGAGGAGAGCATTAGGACTGCTCATGCTGTATCATGCGTCCTTCACTAATGCAGGTCAGAGGTCAGGAACTCTAACCCTACAACACACAGCTAACACATGAGTCGAACTCGATCGCCAGAGGCTGTAGCTCTGAGCTGTGCTTAGCAACTGCCCCTTCCTCCACTCCGGAGTGGAAGTGCAAACAACCCACTGCTTCATAATCCAGATCAACCTCAGACACGCAGGATGACCTTTGGTCTCTGACCTCCATCCAGTGTCTCCAAGTTCAAGGCTAGGCTGGGGTGAGATACAGAGAGATTAGAAGAAGGACTTGAAGAGCAGCCATATGGCCAGCAAAGACCCACGGACCAACATCGGTTTACAAATGAAGAGACTGTTAGCCTGTGTGTGTGTGTGTGTGTGTGTGTGTGTGTGGTTTTCTAGAAAACATGTTGCCAAAACACTTTCACTCTCCATCTGGCTCCCCTTTGAGAGCGCAGGCCTGTTGGTTTACAAGTCTACCACTTCAGAGCCATAAAACTGCACTTGAGTGGATTAATAAATTTAAAAAAAATAATAACAGAATGCCACTTCATTGGTGTTGATTAGCAAAACCACATAATGTCGATATCCAATTATGCGAGATTGCCTCAACATCTATTTTTTACACTGAAAGTGTCTTTAAATTTCTCATAAAAGAGAGGCTGATATTTATGGTAATTACTCGCTTGCATTTAAAACAGTGGGACTTCAATATAAAGTATTACAAAGCAGCACTCCTTTTAGGATAATATGTCTTAAAGGCAAGTATGAAACCAGAGAGATGTTTTCAAGCATCAGTAAAACAGTAGAGAGCTTGTTTGCCTTCTCAACTTGAAGGAAATGAACTAAATGCCTTTAAAACCCTCCAAAAACGATGTCTAATTATTTCAAGCAAGTTCAAATGATAATTGATCATTTAAAATAGAATATGAATGTGTAATAACACATTAATTACATGTTATTACAAACATTTGCACTCATTTTATACAAAAAGCAGAGTGCTGTAGTTTATCAACACATAAATGTTCTCTGTTCCTACTTTCCCTTTACTTGCTTGCAAAGACGTGACATTTTGTCATGTAGTGGCATCCCATTTTTTACCCATAATTCTCAGTGAGTGACAGAGGCCAGGAATAGCACATGGCAAACGACTCCAGTGTGAGAGATCAATATTGTAGTGAGCTCCTTTAGATATACTGTCACATATAAACCTGCACAAACGTCTCTGCCACAGTGATAATTCACTCTCCCAGCTAAATGCACTATGGATGCTGTGGAAAAAAGAGACGGAAAATTTGCCCACGAGGTAGGTTACAGATGGCACTTTCGGAAATTACACACAGTATGACGACAAACTTCTTTTAATGATTTTGTGCGCTCAGACTCACCAACAGACGATGAAGAGCAGCTGCAAAATCCCTTTCCTCGTTTCCTCGCAGACCTAAAAAGGACACACAAAGAAATAATCATAATCAAACAGCCTTCAATCAAATCTGAAATTCAATTTTCCTCATCCACTCCAATCAGCCGTCTCAAAGAAAACACCAAGGTCTCTAATCTCCAAGCTGACTGATCAACATTCTTGCTTGAATACTTTCTGACTGGTCCCAATCATTTCTGGCCCCAAGGCCGTACTTAACACTACATAAAATCAGCTTGTGAATAAACCTTGTAATGGACAAGCCAGGGAAAAGAACAAACCTACATCCATGACAATAGGAGGCATATTGTACCAAAGAAAAACAGGTGTACATCTTGACAACAATAGCACGAGGCCCTTGCATTTGTAATATGTTGCAGACACAAACACGCACTAGGACGACCACACCGATATTTCACACCGTAACACTTCACAGCCATCTACTGTGCTCTTTATATTAAAACAATAAATACAAGAGAAACTAAAAATGTAATTGTGAAATGTACAGATGACACGTTCAGTACAGTTTTTCATTTTAAAGTGAGTATAAATTTTACTGAGAATTCGTTCGACCTAGTAGCCTTTGAGACCTTAAGGAATGTATTGACTGGGTTGACACAGTTACTGTACGAGGAATTGTGGGAAAACAGACAGAAAAGACACCCACCAGTTTTAAAATCCTTCTGTCCTTCTACTACTTTGTTCATGCATTTTAAAAACAAACTTACAAATTTATAATTTGCAAAGAAAGGGCAGGTAACACATTGAATTAAAGTAGAAAGACTCCTGTAAAACACTCCAATAATCTTTGTTTTATTTACAACTTTGAAAAATCATTTTTTTACAGTGCACACTATGACATATTTTAGCGCAATAGCTTTACCTGAGGTTTTATTTTCCTGTCGGTGCATTAAAGCAGCTTTGGGCCAATGTGCTAATTACTGGCTCTTTTTAATAAGAGGGCATAGGCTCACATATACATCCAGACACAGTGACAGATTTATGGTGCCCCGTGGAGGCAGTAGAGAGGACCCCTGCCTCCAATGGCCCACCACAGCCGAGTGAGATATAGTGAAGTATTGATCCCAATGCCACTTCATTTCGCAATAACTATTACACAATATTCGCTTCCCCGCTCCTGGCCACTGATTTATACTGCCCTGTTATTTGCATTAGCAGTAAGTGTTTTTCTATACCACGGCTATGGAAGGTCTTCTCAACAGATGGAGAAACACACACACAATTCATCAATGCATATTGTGTGCACATGCATACTCAGCCATACACCTTTCACTATGTATAAATGCATGTGCATCTCTCCGGTTCATATCTAAAAATCACAGGGATATTTAATTGCATGGATCCAGGGTTATTATAGTTAACTAAAACTAAAAACCTGTTTTTGTTAATTAAATAAATAAATAAAATAAATACAACTTTTTATTTTGTTTAACTTGCGTTAAAACAAACTACAACTATAATAAATCTATACTAGTATCTCAGTGATTAAAAAACAATCCTTTAATTAACAAATAATACTACTACTACTACTACTAATAATAATAATGGTATAGTAGCATGCGATATTAAATAATATATAAAAAAGTGGCATGTGAAATTACCAAACACGTATATTTTATACAAAGCACGACACCTTATGGGGAATGCCATTTTGAGATCACATGACCAGATTTCATCTCAATAACTCCTCGTTATTGTCCACTTTTGCTCAGCTTTTTGACTGCATTTGCATTTGACTGAAAACTTTTCCGATTTTGCGCGACGCTGCATCCAGGCCACTGAGTGTCAGTATAAAAACAACCTCTATATCAGCCAGAGCAGCATGAAACTGAGAATAAGCCTGAATATGCAGGCTGTTGCAGTGCTTACAATCTGTGATCGGTCAGTATCAGTTGTTTGTGATCCATGTAATCAGTGACTAGTGCTTGAAAGCAGCTCACAGTGCCAGGCCTAAGTCAGCAGACCACCTAGCGACAGGGGTGCGCATGTTCAAGCCGAACGCGTGCCGAGCTACGAAACGGGAGGGGTGTTAGGAGCCACGTGCCGAGCTGAAATTCTCATACATGTCCCCTCTGGAGGCGTCTGAGCGATGCCCGCTCCACCGCACTAAACAAAAGCACTAAACAGCCTTAATTGCTACTTGGCTGTTTTGCATCTGGAGGGTGTCAACTCGGCGGTGATATGTAAATCAGCAGCCCCGCCTCCTGCTCCCCTACCCACTGCCCAGGCATAATAAGCTCTTTATCTGCATACGGGGGCGGGCAAACGGGAAGGCTGGCTGCCAAGCTTGAGTGTGGCAATGCGGAAAAAGACACTTGTTGCCATAACAGCCTGTTATGCCAAGTAGAACGTCACGCAGACAGATGGCTGGGCTCCGCTGGCAAGCAGACAATCAGACGCTGCCACTTTAATACCAGCAGGAGAGAAAAGGCACGTGGCACCCGGGTCCACCCTGACTCACATTCACTTTATTGATGAATAGAGCCCATTCATATGCACAGCCTAGGCTAATTTTATGCTAATATAGCCAGGGGGAGGAGGCAACGGAGTTAAGTGGGTGTTTGTGTGTATTGGGAGTGGGTAAAAGGTCTGAAATGGTGTACTAAATAAACATAGACATAACTAGAGGTCACGGCAGAAGAGATCTGTGTGTGCTACCGTTAAAAAAAAGTACAGTTTTTTTATGAGAACTTTAATAGAGCTTTAATGATTCCGTTTTATTAAAGAATATCATAAGTGACATCGATATAGATAAAAGATTAAGAGCAATTAAGGGCTTTTTGCTGGCAGGCGAATATATTCATGCCTTTTTTTTGTAGATGGAGAGGAAATTAAATTTTTGGGCTATTGAAATTTAGTGACTTGATACAAAATGCATATTCATTTTTGATTAACCTTCAGCGGAACAACGCTTGGCAGTCATAGAAGTCATTTGGTTGAAATATATCAATGTTAAATTAAATCTCACAGAGCTACGATTTCCAAATACATTCCTGCAAAGACTCCCAACATCATCTTCACATTTATCATGCTCAGATTTACGGGGTTTAACCTACATGGTGTGTTCTGGTCATTTTGACAGGAATTCTGGTCAGTTTTCTTTTTCTCGAAAATGGGCTAAAATGTCCTGACTTTGCTCACACAGGGTACAAAAACTTTCCACAAGAAAGAAAGAAAGCAAGCAAGAAAGAAAGAGGCCTCATTGATCTGAGAACCTCAGTTTTTGAGTGAATATTGCCAGAATTATCAACAAACAATTTTTGTTTCACTCAAAAACAGAGATGAATGAGGCCTACAACCAATCAAATCCAATACAAAACCTGTGCTAATGAACAAAAATAAGCTGACAAAAAGACTGAATCCAAGATTCGTGTGTGTGTGTGTGTGTGTGTGTGTGTGTGTGTCAGCACAGGGCATGCTAAAGTCACATCCCCTGGAGCTTTAGGTGTCCCCACGCTCACACCACTCCCATCAACATCTCGCCTTAATGCATTTTCTATACCTGCCTGTGTCTCAGCTCTATGGACTCTCCAGTGATTTAGATGCAGCAACAAACCTGTCCCATTTTCAGACGGACATTATTGATAGACTGTCACTTCAGATTGTAGCTAACTGCTAATGGTTATTTTATAGTGCATATGTCAAATCTGATGTGGAGTGTGTTCGTTTATTTATTTATTTTTCCATTGCTTCACCTTTCCTTTACACTATGATGCTTCCAAGTTGGTGTACTGTAAGCTACAGCTAATAAGTATCCTACTATGAAAATACAACTTGACATGTCATGCAGTGGTTGAGTGTAAAAAAAAAAAAGCAGGTGTCAAGAAGTGGACATAATATGCAGTGCCTTGCATGTAATAAAATGTTAATAGACCTTGCTAATACAAAATCTCACTTCGAATGACAAAATGAGAATGCAGTGAACATATCATTCACTCCGCTTATCAAGATATAACATATCAAGAAACTATATTTAACCCAGGCAGATACTTCCAGATACTATTAAATACAATATTATCTTGATCATAGAAAAATACTGAACATACAAAATTTTCACAATATGAGATCTGTTTTATGATACCAGTGCAGATTAATTATATATTAATAGTGCTTGTGTCTGATTAAAGTATCTGATATGTTTTATTTATGCTTTAGCACAATAACTAATATAATTTTTAATATACAAAATTCATAAATATTAGCCTACAACAAAAACACGTGTTCATTTTAATAATAACAACAACAATAAAACTTATTATTTTAACATTCATATTAACATTATAAATATTATATATTATACATCATATAATAATAATAATAATAATAATAATAATAATAATAATGTCATTATATTTATGCTAAGTTGCTTTTTAAACAAAGCATAAATGGTATCTTTATTTATTTATTTATTTATTTACAATTAATCTAATCCTTTTTTTGTGACCATGTCTAATCAAAAGTTAAACAAATTTTATTTTATTTTATTGTATTTTTTTTATTTTATCATTTAGAAAGAATATAGCTGCATTTTTTGTGAATAATTATTATATTAGCATACAAAGTAGCCTACTACCATATAAAGTAGCTACTAATAATAATAGAAAATGATAAAAAAAAATTGTAAGTAAAATAAAGATTGTTTGAGTACACTTCACATGAAAATATTATTTTAGATTGTCTGCTTTTAAAATTCATGTTTAATTCAAAGTGTTTCTTGGCATTTCTTTGCAATTATTCATGAAAATGTACTAGCAATTTCTAGGTGATTTTTTTTTCACCACTATTTTTAGTCTATATAAAACAAGAATGAAATATAAACCTGAAATATAAACTTTAACTCCTCTCTAAGACATTCACCAGTGTTGTCCTAGATTAACCCATGAGACATCCTGAACAAAGTGCGGATCAGCATGTGTGTGCGTGGCGACTAGACGTCCCACTTATGCCTGGATCTTGAAGGACCCCAATTTTGTGGGTATTAATGAGAGCACCTGCTCAGG